AAGTATCGGTACTGTACCTTGGGTATCGATACTACTTATATGGAAATTGTAAATTAAGTACTTTGTATAGCTTATTTTACATATGATTGATTAATAGTGATTCAACTTAAGACATTCATATTAATTATATGAATCGTGTAGATATCGAACGAAAGGAAGTACCGAATGAGTCAACGAGATAATATCGATCAAGAAATAGATAAGTGTATTGCTTGGACTAGTGAGGCTGAGGTGAATGCATACTAGTATGAAATATGATTATATGGAAATTAGACTTGCGAAAAGTCGGTTTCCGACATTTTGAATATATGATTGCATGAGTAGAAGTATGATTATGATTTGTACTGTGTGAATATACCTTGCTTACATTACATGTTATGTGGTATGAATCTATGTGATATGTGTTATATGACAATGATCTACGTGACCTTATGAGAGTATTATATGAATTATGTGATAATAATATATGAGATTACATGCTTATGTGATAACATGAGAAAGTGATATAAGCTATTTGGTATAGATATAAGTGATTATATGAACATAAAATACAAGCTATGTAATGAGGATATACGTGTTTATATGTCTATGAGAAGATATAAGAACAAGATATAAGCCATGTGATATGACCTATGTGATTAATTATTTATGTGAAATAAGATATAATAAATGATATAATTGTAAAGCCCATAGTATGTGTTATGAGAGCTAGGGGTATAATTGGCATGCCAAGAGTCGAGGGTTCTATGCGGTCCTTCGGGACATATATGCGGTCCTTTGGAACATATATGTGGTCCTTCAGGATATATATATTTAGTCCTTTGGGACATCTATGTGGTCATTCGGGACATTCTATGTGGCACTTCGGTGCATTTTATACGAGCTGTGGTGACAACATTTGTGCACAACCTCAATGCACTGACATATCTTTAGTTTTCAGAAATGTACCATGGGCTATTAAATAATGATAAAATAAATAATTGTATGTCATGTTGTGTGTTTTGTTTTTTGAAATGTATGATATGAAACTCACAAATGTTAAGTACAAGATTATATGATTAAAGGAATAAATGATAATATTGATAATGATGTTGATAATGATAATGATGAGATACGTACATGTATACATTTTGTTATATGAAATGTTCTATGGTTTTGTGTGATATCATTGTATGAAATGTTCGTGCATTGTTAAGTATTTAAAGTTTCTATTAGATGGTTTATATGCCTCACTAAGTCTGTGATTTAGCGTGTGAGTATTTGCACACGTAGGTTTAGAGAAGAGAAAAGAGAGCAAAGATAGGCAAGTCAAGTCACTTATCTTTTCCAAAGATCAGATGAGAAAATACTTGAATCATATTTATTTTATAATACTGCTTTTAGTTGGCATGTAAATAAATATTTGCTTTGGATATGCTCTGATCGGTTTTGTAAACTCTTTAGTTAAATTTATGTAAATAATGTTGTTTTATTTAATATAAGTTGAAATTTTTACGATTTTGTACAGGTATATGATTTGAAAGGTTAATGTGACAACTCAGACTCGTATCCGGGTCGGATATGAGTTTGGGGTGTTACAATAACACTTAAAATATAACTTCAATCCTCTTAACATTCATGTCAACTCACAACTCAATTAATCCTTTCAAATTCTACCGTCTAACCATTAAAATGAATTATTTTAGAATTATTCTCAATATTTTCCATTTATTCAAAATGGTTTCTTGAAATTTAGCTTCAATTCCAAGCATAAAAATCTACACCTAATCATTTTAATAAAACATTTAGACATTGCTCTTTAACTTCTAATCCATCTCCACTTCAATTCTAAAGTTTTCATATTCTGACAATTTGCCCTACCCTTAAAGAATCATTATTCTATATTGATTTACACACTGGAATTTAATTTCGTTTCTTCCATTGGAAACTAGACTCGAATAAAAATTTAACCATATAAAGTAATCATTCTAATTCAACTTTTACAATTTATAGTGAATTTTCTAATCCAATTTCTCGAATATGTCTTGAGCAGAATTTGTTGCCCTATTTTTTGACTTATCATCGATAAAAAATTTCATTATAAAATTTGAAATTGATCCCCGTTTGTTTTAAATAAAACTAGATTGATATAAAAACACAACGATATAAAAATCATCTCCAAATCATTTTTATAAAATTCTTGGTGATTTTTCAAACTCACTGTCAGATTCAAAAATCTAAACAGTTCTCATTATTTTGCATCCTTATTTTCTTGTATACTTCCTACAACTTGCATCTTGATCCCTTATCATTCAAGGAAACTGTCTCTGATCTAAAGACTTTAGAAGTGAAGTATGATCAAGAAGACTTAGGACTGATCCTCTTATATTCGCTGCCTTCTTCCTACTCACCTTTCAGAGACAAAATATTATACAGTCACAAAACTCTCATTCTTGAATAGGTGTACAATGGTCTGCACTCGTTCGACAAAATGAAGCATCATGTATCTAGTTATGAGCCCCAAACAAAGGCTCTTGTGGTGCATGGACCGACTAGCTCTGATTATGTAAGAAAAGGCGAGCGTTCTTCTGGTAGTAAAGGAATGGGTCGATCAAAATCTTCCAACCAAGGTAAAACTTGTTACTATTATAAAAAGAAAGGTTATGTTAAATTGGAGTGTTACAATTTGCAAAATAAAATCAAAAGAGAAGTTGAAGAGCAGAACTCTGGGAAATTTGGTGAGGTCGGTATAGTGGAGGAGTAGGATGACAGAGAACTCATAGTTGCGGCTGACGACAACTTTATAACAAGTGATGAGTGGATACTTGACTCTGGTAGTAGTTTTCATATGAGTCCTAATCGTGACTGATTTGCGACGTATGAAACTATTTCTACAAGTGATGCATTTTTGGGAAATAACGTCCCTTGTAAATTCACAGATATTGGCACAATCAAGATTAAGATGTTTGATGGGATTGTTCGAGCACTTGATAATGTGAGATATGTTACAAATTTGAGTAGAAATCTAATTTCGTTAGGTACTCTAGATTTAAAAAGGTACAAATTCTCCAGTGAAGGTGGAGCTATGAAAATTTGTAAGGACTCTCTTGTTGTGTTGAAAGGGCAGATAAAGACTATCAAGTTTTATGTTCTACAGGGTTCAATAGTTTTAGATAATGTAGTTGGTGTTTCATCCACCGGGTCAAATAACGTTGTTGAACAAAATAATCGTGGTCAGAATGGTTATGTAAAGTAGAAAAGAGTTCAATTTCGTGAACATAATGAATTTGAAGATAGAACTATCATTGATGATCGGGATCGTGTTGTCCATGATATTACTTGTGGTGAAACATTTGTGAGCAAAGTTGGCACTTATGATAACCATATCGATGTGAAGACTAAATCCAAGCCTAGAAAAAGCTTGAATCATATCAATGTCAATTACTGAAGATTACCCCTTTGAGGGGGTGTTGTGGAAGAGGTCGAGAATTTGTTCGTTGAAGTGAAGAATTATTTTTGTTGAGTTTTGGGTGTTTCATCGAATTTGGGTATTTTGTCTCGAAACCTTTGCAATTTCAGAATCCGTGTCAAGGTGGAGATTTATTAGAGTTTGACTCGAATTCAAAGTGGCACAAATTAATTAATATATAAATATTGAGAAAGTAGAAATCCCAATTTGATTAAAAGTAGAAAACTTTATTAAAATATATTTATACTTTTTTTTAGTTTTTCTTTTGTAATCAAGTATTTATCCCTATAAATAGATACTAATGGTTAAAGTTAGAAATCAAGTTTTTTCTTTCACTAAAATTCTCTTGTATTTTCTTTCTTCATATTAGTGAAATTCCTCTCCTCTACCCGTGTTTTTTCCTTTTTGGGTTTTCCACGTAAATCTAAGTGTTCTTTGTTTTTTTCTTTTTACAGATATCGTTCCGATATTATAATAATTGGGTTAGGCTTTAATAAACTTTTAGTAAAGCTTGTTATAACCTTCAATGCCTGGTATAATCCGGGCCAATTTCATTCATCGGCCAGTCTCATAATTTCATTAGGAAGAAAAAGACCTAGTCATTTGTGGCAGATAGTGGTAAATCCCACAGGCGCACATGGAAAATAAATACGAACACAACATCAAATCATACTTTTTTTTTTACTTTTACAAGGAATAAGGTAAATAGTCAGAATTATAATTTTATTTAATTATTAATAATATATATACACTCTGTAAATATAATTACTCAAATTATTTTTTTAAGAGAATAATATATTCTTTTATTCCTAAATCTGTTTAATAAATTTATAAATATTGATATTTGAATCTTAAACACATGCGAAAAGTTTCTAAACCTAGTGTAGCCTAGCCATTAGGCTTTTAGACCAGCTCCCTCTTAAACGTAAATTAATTCAAATTTGCCACCAAAATATTCTCATATTGGCTACTTTTGCATCATTCTCTTAGTGGGACTGGGGGGAATATTAAAGGATGTGGCCCACTGTGGTGATAGCATTTTGTGTGGTGGGCTTAGCATACTTTTTTCTTCTTCTCAAATTACATGTAACTTGGACACTTTGGGTGCTTAGCTAGTTTCCCATTCCAGTTGAAAAGCATGATGATGCTATTCTTTTTACTCCTTAATATGCCAATCCCAGTTTATCATCTTGACCTTTGAATCAAACAGAAAAGAGAGAGGCTAAAGTAAGGTGGGGGGATGTAATCAGAAATCTTGCAGCAAAAAGATTACAGCAAAATGTCAAAAGAGAAAGAAAAAGAAGAGAACTCAATGAAAGAGTTAAAAGACTTTTAAAAGGCATCTCATAAAACATGAAAAAACACAACAAGTATAGAATAGATAAAGAACAAAGCTGAATTCATATGTTTAGTTCTGAACCTTCCTATTTGCTACAACCAGGTTTTGCCAAATGGGTAAATAAATCTCGAAATTCCATAAAAAGGAGACTACATGTACACCTACAAAAAACAGTTGATTCATGAGAAACAGAATGAAAGATTGCAACAACAGTACAAAGATAAGATGATTCAGGGCTCAATGATTATGCCCTGTGTTATATCATATGAGGTTAAAAAGAGCCAACCATCCCCCCAGGCCCCTTCTTTTCTAAACCCCGCCATTTGATGTTTGAGAAAAAGTGTTTATTCGAAGTGTTTTGAGGAGAGAAGCATCTATGCGTTTTCTTCTTGCGTAGGTCTCTCTTCTGCTGCTCTCTGTCTCAAATCATATGGCAAAACCAGCACCTTTGTTTACTGTAATAGACACTCCCTTCTCTTTAGTTTAAAGACTGGTTTTTGTTTTTTTGGGGCCATAGAACCAAGCTTTGCCATTGTTGATCAATGACTAAAGGATTCGTGTTCTTCCTTTCTCTGTTTCTTTGTTCACAATTTTTGTCCCAAGCCGAAAAGAATCAAGCTGAGATCCAAGCCTTGACATCTTTCAAGCTTAATCTTTTTGACCCACTTGGAGCTTTAAATGGGTGGGATCCATCAACAACTGCGGCTCCGTGCGACTGGCGTGGAGTTACATGTTCCAACAACCGAGTCACCGGGCTACGTCTACCTATGCTTCAACTCAGTGGACGACTCACTGACCGTCTTTCTGATCTCAAGTTTCTTACCAAACTCAGCCTCCGTTCTAACTCCTTCAATGGCAGCATACCGTCCACTCTGTCGCAATGCAAGCTTCTACGCTCTGTTTTCTTGCAGTACAACTCACTCTCTGGGACATTACCCTCCGGGATACGTAATCTCACTGATTTAACCATGTTAAATTTAGCTCAAAACCATTTATCCGGTGAAATCTCAGGGGATCTCCCACGGAATATCAAGTATCTTGATCTTTCTTGGAACTCATTTTCTGGTTCAGTTCCTACAAGCATTGCCAATTTATCTCAGCTCCAACTCATTAATCTCTCGTATAACCGGTTTTCCGGTGAGATTCCTGCTAGTTTTGGTGAGCTTCAACAGCTTCAATATCTCTGGCTTGATTATAATGCTTTAGAAGGGACATTACCTTCTGCTTTAGCCAACTGCTCTTCACTTATTCATTTTAGTGCTGAGGGCAATTTGCTTGGTGGGGTTATCCCAGCAGCCATTGGAGCTCTTCCTATGCTTCAAGTTGTTTCACTTTCTCATAACAATCTCTCAGGAACGGTGCCTGTTTCTTTGTTCTGTAATGTCACTGTTTACCCGCCTTCCATTCGGATTGTTCAGTTGGGGTTTAATTTGTTTAGTCTTGTAGTTGGTCCCGAATCAGAGAAATGTTATAGTGTTGTACAGGTTTTGGATCTTTCTGAGAATCGGATTGGTGGGGTCTTTCCCTCATGGCTAAGGCGTGTAACAACTTTAACAATGTTGGATGTTTCTGGCAATTTGTTTTCAGGTGAGATTCCTGTTCAGGTTGGGAATTTGTCTAGATTGGAGGAGCTGAAAATGGCTAATAATTCTTTTACTGGTGTGGTTCCCATTGAGATTAAGCAATGTGGTTCGTTGCATGTTCTTGATCTTGAAGGAAATCGGTTTTCTGGTGAAATCCCTGCTTTTTTAGGTTACATGACTGGTTTAAAAGTGCTGTCTCTTGGGAGAAACCTGTTTTCAGGTTTGTTTCCGGCTAGTTTTCGTAATCTCATCGAGCTTGAAACCTTGAATTTGGCACATAATAACTTGACTGGAAGCTTGCCGGAGGAGATAATGGGATTGAGCAATTTGAGTACGTTGGACTTAAGTGGGAACAAGTTTTATGGTGAGATTCCTGCAAGCATTGGGAACTTGAGTAGGATTGTTGTTTTGAATCTAAGTGCTAATTGGTTTTCGGGAAAGATGCCAGCAAGTTTGGGCAATTTGTTCAAGCTGACTACACTTGATTTAAGCAAGCAGAACCTCTCTGGTGAGTTGCCGATTGAGCTTTCTGGTTTACCGAATCTTCAAGTGATTGCTTTGCAAGAAAATATGTTATCTGGGGAAATTCCTGCAGGGATTGGTAGTTTGATGAGTTTGCATTATGTGAATCTCAGTTCCAATTCATTTTCTGGTTATATACCGGAAACTTTTGGCTTTCTTCATTCATTAGACGCTCTTTCGTTGTCTGATAATCACCTAACTGGGGTGATCCCCCCTGAGCTTGGGAACTGCACAGAGCTTGAAGTTCTCGAGCTCAAATCAAATTCTTTGACAGGTCACATTCCTACCGATCTCTCTCACCTTCCACAGTTGAATGTGCTATATTTGGGTGGTAACAATTTAACAGGAGAAATCCCGGGGGATATTTCCAAATGCTCGTCACTGACTGCTTTGCTTCTCGATGCTAACCAGCTTTCTGGAAGCATACCGGATACTCTTTCCAAGTTATTAAATCTCACCATGCTTGATCTTTCGTCAAATAACTTGAGCGGATGGATTCCTTCCGATCTCGGTCTTGTTTTAGCATTGGTCTACTTCAATGTCTCAAGGAATGGCCTAGCAGGAGAGATTCCAGTTACTCTGGGTTCTAGATTTGACAATCCATCTGCATTCGCAGAAAACCGAGACTTATGTGGAGAGCCATTGGATCGAAGGTGCGAGGATGCAACCAAAAAGAGCAGGAGGAAAAGGTTCAATGTGTTGATTGTTGTGGTAGTATGTGCTGCTTGTCTCTTGTCAACATGTTGTTTCTATGTCTTCAGTCTATTGAGGTGGCGCAAGAAGCTTAAAGCAGCCACCGGGGAGAAGAAAAGGAGCCCTACAAGGGCTAGTTCCGGAGCAAGTGGTGGCCGTGGCAGCACTGATAATGGGCGGCCAAAGCTTGTTATGTTCAACAATAAGATCACACTCGCAGAGACGATTGAAGCAACTAGCCAATTTGCTGAAGAGAACGTGCTTAGCAGAAGCCGGTATGGTTTAGTATTCAAGGCTTGTTACAATGACGGAATGGTGCTCTCTATTCGCCTCCTGCCAGATGGGTCCCTTGACGAAAACATGTTTAGGAAAGAAGCTGACTATTTAGGCAAATTGAAGCACCTGAACTTAACCGTTCTCCGTGGCTACTATGCAGGGCCACCGGACTTAAGGCTGCTGGTTTACGATTACATGCCGAATGGAAGCCTTGCAACACTCCTCCAAGAAGCATCCCACCAAGATGGTCATGTCCTAAATTGGCCAATGCGCCACCTAATAGCTCTAGGCATTTCCCGCGGACTAGCCTTTCTACACACATCCAACATGGTGCACGGAGATGTCAAGCCCCAAAACGTGCTATTCGACGCCGATTTCGAAGCACACTTATCAGACTTCGGCTTGGATCGTCTCGCAATTGCAACTCAGACCGAAGCTTCAACTTCAACTTCTGTTGGTACATTAGGGTATGTTTCCCCAGAGGCAGTTGTAAGAGGGGAAGGCAGCAAAGAATCAGATGTGTACAGCTTTGGCATTGTGATGCTTGAACTACTGACAGGGAAGAGACCAATTATGTTCAGGGACGATGAAGACATTGTTAAATGGGTGAAGAAGCATCTTCAGAGAGGCCAAATCATAGAACTTTTAGAACCAGGGCTACTTGAGCTTGACCCCGAAGCGTCGGAATGGGAAGAATTTCTGCTAGGAATCAAAGTTGGGTTACTTTGCACGGCTCCGGATCCCGTTGATCGGCCAACAATGTCGGATATCGTGTTCATGCTTGAAGGTTGTCGTGTGGCTCATGATATTCCCTCATCGGCCGATCCAACGTCGCAGCCTTCACCGGCATAAACAACTCAGAATCCGATTCCTATTTTTTGTTTTGCTTTTCCTATCTCATGGAAACTTTTTACCATTTTTTTTAGTTCCAGATAGAAAAATGTAAGAGTAGCTTCAATTTATTTTCTTTTTCAGTTAATTTATTCTGCTTACATTTACCTTTTAATCTGACAATAAAAAAAATTAATGGACTCAAAATTGATTCAAATTTAAAATAATTCAATTTTTACATAATCAAGATTCTAATTTAAACAGATTGACTCAAATTAAAACAATTCAAAATAGATTTAAATCTAAAACAAACTTGAAATCATCAGAAACAATGGTTACACTAATCGAAAGGTCGGGTGTACGATTAAGTTAAGAATCCAAGAGCCAAAAGCCGTAGAATAAAATTAGCCGTTCAAATTGTAGACATCGACGTGTTTGAACTAAAAAAAGTAATTGACTCTTACTCGTTAAAACATTTTGTTGTTCAACTCGATTCGTTGCTCGTTAAAATTTTACTCGGCTCATATTCGTTAAAAAAATTTGTTTCTTAACTCGTTGCTCGTTGCTTGTGAAGCTCATTAACATTTTTACATTATTTTCTTAACTATAGATAAAATCTATTAATACTATATAGAGCTTAATATAAACATAAATTAATATATTTAACAAAAAAAAGAGTATCAAGCAATTTCAAAGTCAAAATTCTAAAATAACAATCCGCAAATACATTAAAATAATAAATAAGGTTTGATTATTTGGTTTTGTAAAATATTAATTAATAATTTAGTATTTTTTATTATTTATTAGAAAATTAATAGATTATTAATTTATCATCTTTTTTTATCTATTAGTAAATTAGTATAATTTTTTGAATGAAATATTTTTTTAAAGATAACTGCTAAAAAATTATAATAAAAAATTAACAAGCTTCTTATGAACTTATCAAGTTGGACTTTGCTTCTCAACTCATTAAGATCTCAAGTTGAGCTCTAGTTCGAGTCGAGTTAACCCGATTCGAGCTTTTACCGAATTTTGACTTAGTCGGGTTCGAACTGCTCACGAGTTGCACAACTCATTAAATACCTATAAAAAATCCGAACCAAATAAAAAAAATTCATACCTAAATTAATTAATATTTTAAATTCTTATCCTATTAAATGAATTAAAATATTAAATTTTTTTAAAGGCATAATGGTCACTTTTGCACATGTAGTAGACACAATTTATCGTTTTTGTCCTTATCGTATTTTCGCATCAATTTAACCCTTGAAATTGTTCAATTATATCATCATATACCTTGCTCCTAACTTAAAACCTTAAATTGAGGGTTTTAGGTTAGAGTTTAATGCTTAAGGTTTAAGGTTATCAATTTAGGGTTTTAGGTTAGGAGTAGGATATAAAAATATGCAATTAAACAACTTTGAGGGTTAAATTGATGTAAAAATACGATATTGGTAAAAATGATAATTTTGGTCTACTTCAGGAGCAAATGTGACATTTTTACCTTTTGTTTAAATAATTTAAGTTCGAATAGTTGTATTCTTAGATTTTAAATTAATATAAACTGAAATTAATGACATCGAGAAATGGACAATGAATTGAAAATATCCAGATCGGAATTGCTGTGATCTCTTATGATTATTTTATTACACTTTATATTTTGTTTAGCATTCCTTTTCTTGGATTTCAGGTTTCAACTTGAATTATAATATTGTCTGGCGCATGGAGATTATAATTTTGTTGGTCTTGTTTTTCGCTCTACGCTTTGCTTCCTGTGAATAAATAAATAAAAAAGCTAATGACATTTTTAGTCTTTGATTTTTCATAAAAAAATCATTTTATGGTCATACACTACAACCATATGACACATACCCTTAAGACATTGCTCGAGTTGAGATAAAGGTTGGAAATAGGGTTTGCAATAAAAAATGTTAAGAACCAGTGAATACTCAAGGATGATTTAAAAGGTAGAGGTTGTATGGTATTTATAATACCATGCAAACCTAAAAATAATAATAAAAAAGTTGGATAGTAAAAGGTATCAAATAAAAATGAGGTAAAAGATGTATATTTATAGTTGTCTCCTTACAATAAAAGGTATATATTAATTTACACCGATAATTAATTTAAAACTCATTTATCACAAATGACATTTTTTAAAGGAAATTTGTATGGAGAATTCATATAAATTGATACGTGTCTTATCAAAAATCTCTCTATACCTAATTAAGAGAAAAAGAAAGCAATATACTAATATTGAAAACGAGTACACACTAACTATAATATATGAAAACACCGATACAACAATCCGAGTTCATGATCATAGTAATGATACACAACAATTTAATCATTGACGGGAATCTAAATTTCACGTAAATTATCAACTTTCAAATTTAATATTAAATAATCCATACCTCCATTCCCTTGTAATAACAATATTTAGACATTAGATCCAATCTTTGTTAGTTTCGATTAAATTTAATATTATCACCGACATTTTGTTATTGAAGCGACAGGGATGATTGTCAAAAGATGAAATTTGAAGCACCTTAATTCCAACCAATGGCCTTATAAGGTCTCAAAATTTATAAGTACGTTCTAGATTTGCCTTTGAAATTCACAGAAAAAAAAGTAGAGATGGGAAGGTGAGAAATTCATAGTTATTTTAGCATTCATGAATTGTAATTCAAGCTTAAAAAATTACGATTTCTAGTAATTTAAAATTTGGGTGCTGCGTTATATATAAGGAATTAGTGAATTCGGGGTTGGAAAGCTAGATTAAGGCCAAGCGTTGAATTAAGTCGGTGCATCTATCTATGATCGAAACTAGAAACTAAAAAGAAGAGACAATCCCACATTGTCGATACATTTGAAATACAAGCTTTTTAAATAGGTGATTGAGGCACAAAATTTCTGTCGAGTGGGGTAACTCCTGCTTGTAACCCAAGTGGGAGCAACAAAGTGAATGGACTTCGGTATGATTCATTGAGTAGGATTCTTGTGACTTCCATCTAGCCTGCCCGTCCCAAGTTAGTAGTTAAGCCATGGGGCTTGTCCGAAGGTTCGGGTCTCTTAGCTCCTAAGGGGAATGAGAAATTTTTTTGTTATAAATAGAGCCCTCCTCCTCCTTAGTTTAACATCCCACAAATATAAGCCTTCTTCACTATTAAAGGCTATTTGTACTATTTCTCTCTTTGTAATATTTCCTCTATTAGTGAAATATTATTTTAGTAGTATTTAAGGAGGTAGACATAATTTTGGCCTAACCTCGTTAAATATTGGTGTTCTCTTTATGTCTATTTAATAGCTATTGTCGGATATAGTTGTTGTTAATTATTATCCTATTAAAATTACTTGTCTTGGTAGTTCTGTCTAAGGAAAGTGAATTTAAAGAGGGACTATTGTGACCCTTCCTCTTTTCTGGGAATATGCTTTGGGATGATTTTTAGTACAATCGTTTTCACACTAGTCACTTAGATAATAGTTTTCAAGGTGAATTTATTATTATTGGTGGAAATTAACCCGAATTCCACAACAGGTTTCACATAGTAGCAAAAAGTTCCCTTTGCTGAGAGTGGAAGGATAATAGGTGAATGTCATCTGAATCCAACATGACTCTCTAGAAAATTCCTAAATGGACAATCATTTTTTTTCTTGTTCTTACATGAAAAATTGTAGACTACAATACTGATTCCACGAGTAATCAATCTTTTTGCATGACATGCCAATGTGATTATTTTGCATTAACCTTTACTGATTTCTATTGATCGATTCGTGGTATGAGTTTCGGTATTGAAGATTTAAAATGCTAAAAGCACAGGACAACTACTTGGTGTAAAAAAAAAAAAATGAATGAATGAAGTCTATGCTTAGGGTAAGAGGAAAATATGGTGGATATTTATCGATGTGACCCAAGTGTTGCAGTCTCTTACACTCTCGTTATCAATCCATGGGCGTTGGCTGATGTTTTTCATTTCTTCTTCACTTCAACTCATAGTTGAAGTTTTTTGCCCTCTTTCAATTTCAATCTCTACGGCAAAATATTTCAATTTTCCATATTCCAATTATAATATTACTATTAGATTATAATTTTTAATTTAAAGAATATGAAATTATATTTAATATTATTATTTTTTAAATATTTTATGAAAACAAATCAACTTAGCATTGAGTGCAAAGCTAAAGTACATTGTACTTTTTAAGGAGAAACTTAGGTTCGATTTTTAAACGTATAACTATTAGGAGGAGCGATCATGAACTCCGAGCATGAATCATAAAATGGACATTAATCACCACATAATCCCCTATTATTGATGATACATATCACATATATATTATGAACTAAAAGACTAAAAGAAAGAGAATAGGTAAATTTCTACTAAAAATCAAAATAAAACTTGCAGAATTTTATGAGTAATTATTAGATATTGTAAAGAAATTATTTAAAAAATATTTCTAAAATTATCCTATAAAACAGTAAACTTTTTCAGACACGGTATTTATTCCAAACCGTGTAGACCATGGCATCGATGGGCACATTTTTCGTCTCTGGTAACAAGAACAAGACGAATGCTCCCATGGTAATATCCAGGCGGCGAAGAAGAAGAATATAAAGGCGCACATATGACACAACATGGACAAGAATGCTTGAGTTATGGCATATGATGAAGGTACAAAGCATGTTGGAGCTAACCGTGAACGTGAATCCGAATGTTCTTGTCTCGAGAGGGAATGTTTCACTGGGTATCAACCAACCAAGAGGACCCCATGACCAAGCAAAAGCCATTACATATATACACCACCACGATAATAGCTAGGTTTTTTGTTAGTGAATCTGTGGCGTGCAGGTTGTGTAAAAGAATTGCTCCAATTGCAATCTGCAGATATTGTTATGTGTGGCTTGCAAATTGGCAAGTTGGTAAGTTGAAGGCTTACAAGTTGACAAGTGGACAACTTGAGCACATGGGATAATTCATCTTTGGTTGGAAAGTGGCCAACTTGTGAACATGTGAACTTCATCT